AGAAGATTGAAGCATGCATAGTTGAAACAATATTTCGAAGTGATTTACAGAAAATCAAGTGAGTTGGTTAATTAGATTAAATAACACGCCTCTCAGGTATCATTTGTAAACGCGTAACATCACCAATCTAGTTGCTCGCATCCTGTTTCGAAAAAAGAATCGTCTTGCACCAACTTTATTCTCCCTCAAGTTGAAACTTTGCAAAATTAAGATCAGCACCACCCCTTGAAAAAACCATGCCACAGTCCACGGATCAACTCCTCCGCCTCTGCCAACTTTTCGTTTTGAGTTTCTGCCGCTACTCAAAATAATGTCCAGATATACCCATCCCACGTGGTCCATCAAGTTGGTTTCTGGTGGGCACAAACCTGGGGGCACACAGCTCAGCCACCGTGTGTCCCACTAAGCTCTCCCAGCCTCCCTCTCCCCCGTATAAATCACCACGCCTTCAACCCCAACATCGCACACACCTCCATTGATCCTCGGTGCAGCAGACACACGAGCACACCACACAGACACACGAGCACACCACACGCCAGCACAGACCATGAGGAATGCGGCAGTTGACGCGCAAATGAACGGCGGCGGCGCCTCTTCGTCGCCCATGATCCCGCCGCCGTTCTGGTCGACGCCGACGCCGTACCTCTTCATCGGCTTCGCGGTGGTGATGAGCCTCATCGCGGTGGCGCTGGCCGTGCTCCTCTGCTCCCGCCGCAGGGAGGGAGACCGCGAGGACGAGGAGGCGGTCCCGGCCGGGATGATGTCCGTGCGCGTGCTGACGCCTCTGGACAGGGAGGTGCCCAAGGTGGTGGTGGTGATGGCTGGCGACGACATGCCGTCCTTCCTCGCCAGCGCCACGCCGCTCGCCTTCGCTGAGGCGGCTAAGGTGCAGCGCCCGTACTGCCAGTGCGGCGCCAAGGACGTCGCCGCCCCCGTATAGCTAACTGTGGCTCTCTCGCCGCAGATCGACGCCGCAATATATATATGTGTGTCGATCAAATCGAATGGGAGGAGTTAAATTTTGTTTCTTTTATGTAGATTATTACAGTAGTTTACATCATTTTCCTCCCTAATTACTGGAGTAGTTTTGGTGCAACGATGCGAATGCGATGCTGTGGCCTTGTCGAGGTGGCTTGTTGTTCGGAGCTTCAGAGCATGTAGCGAGTGCGCAATTAATATGCTAATTTGGTTGCATAAGATTTCCTGGTCTTATAAAAAAAATTAAATGTGAGCATGATTTGGCTTTTAGCTAGTTCTGCTGACGTTTGCTTTGATGTGACTTGCTATTTCCTGATCATCTGACCTAAAGATATATCCAGTGAGATATCCATAATCTTGAAGTGGCACAAAAAATGTGTATAAATTTAGATAAAGAAGTGTGCAAGAACCGATTTGCAGATATTTAAGCCAGGAGAGTATCTACTGATACAAGTGGTATCACTGGATACTTCCCCTAGAGCTGCACATAGTTTTGGATGTACATCTTCCCATGTCGTTTTATTTTTTCGGGGAACATCTTCTTAATTCTCCCTTTTCGAAAGGTATCTTCCCAATTTTCATTAGATAAGGAACTAAAATTAGGATCATCCTTTTCTAAATAAAAGCTTCCCAGTGGAATTAGAAATACGTTGTCCCTATTTGAGACACAGAGTGTTGATCCAGTTCTTCGAGAGTTAATTGAACTATTCCTGTACTTCAAAAGCTTTGTTCGGTGGATGGCGGTTCTACCTATCCCATGGGAAGAAGAAAGAGATGCCAATCAATTATAAGTAAGGGTCTGTTCAGGCCTCATCTAGATGTGACATAACTATGTCACATTTAAGCTGATATCATCACTTTTTTTAATAGATGTCATCACCTATTTGTGGCCTTTTTTATGTTTGTTGTTCTTTTTTTTGTCCAGCCCAGCGTGACATTATTTTTTTAGAATCATGTAGCATCAGTGGTAGCATCCAGCATGACTTAAGGAGAGACCCAGATCGTGCTTGCAAGGGCCACGCCTAGCGCGCCTCCGTGCTTGCTAATACGATCGCTACCTCCGGTAGCCTAGCCGTACGCAGTAGTACACTTTGTGTTTTTCTCCTTTTGTTTTTTCCTTTTTATGATTTTTATTTTTCTCTTTCAGGTTTAGTTGTTCTTCGAGTTTTCTTCCATTTTTTATTTTTTATACTTTTTGTATTATAAAGATTATTCTAATATATGTTCAACATTTTTTAAATACAAATTAAACATTTTTTAATATATGGAGAACACTTTCTTTTCAAATACACATTGAACACATTTTTTATAGGGTGAACACATTTTTCAAATACACACTGAACAAAATTTAATATATTATGATTTTTTAATATAGATTAAACTGTTTTTATATGTATGGTGAACTTTTTTTAATATACAAAGTAAACCTTTTACAAATACACACTGAACAATTACAATTAAAATGTTTATGTATTCAAGCTCTTCGACGAGCAAAATGCACAAGACAGCCGTTGATTCACAAGCAAAAGATGAGTTGCGAGTTGAGGATGGACTTGCAACTGGGGCAACTACAATTACAAGTCCAGTTGCGAGTCGATTAAGGAATTGCAGTTGGAACAACTACAAACTACAAAAAGCTCAGTTGCTAGTCGAGGGCGGACTTGCAGCAACTGAGGCTATTACAAAATACAAAAAAGCCCAGTTACGAGTCGAGGTTGGAGTTACAACTGTGGAAACTACAACTACAAAAAAAAAGCGCCCTAGTTGCGAGTCAAGGTTGGACTTACATTTGTGACAACGACAACTAAAAGCAAAGCCCTTGGTTGCCAGTCGAGCATGGACCTGAAATTGGAACAACTGCAACTACAAAACAACAATTGCGGGCCAGGTTGGGTTTGCAACCGAGACAAAATTATTGGACCCCCAATTTCAAAGTGGGTGGACTCACAACTTGGATAAGAACACAAGCCCCCTTAGTTGCGAGACGATGGTAGGCTTGCAACTGGGACTCTGAGAAACACACCCTTAGTTGCGAGTCGATGGTTGAGTTGCAACTAGGGACCACGACAAGAACACACACGCCCTTAGTTGCGAGTTGATGGATGACTAGCATCTGGGGACCACGATAAAAGAACACACACGCCCTTAGTTGTGAGTTGATGGTTGACATGCAACTAGGGACCACAACAACCAAAACATGCCCTTAGTTGCGAGTCGATGGTTGATATGCAACTGGGCCCG